CTCGCCGCTCCCCCAAGCCGGGTGGGCACCTCCCAGAGCCGCCGGGGTCCCCGCGCTTCTCCCCGCCAGGGGGACCCCCTCCTGCCGAGCGGCCCCCGGCCGGAGGCCTCGTGTGTGACCCCTCCCCCGCGCCCCGGCTAGGGGGCCTGCGCATCCTCGCGCCCCTGGCCCGGTTCCCACCCTGCTGCTGCCCTTGCACCCTCGCGGCCGGGAGGGTGGGGTCTCGCTCCGGCCGGCCGGGAGCCTCGCCACACTGCCTTGCCCTTTACCTTCGGTGACCCTGATCCTGCTTTGGCAGAGGGTCCGGCTGAGCCTCCCGTCTCCTGGGGAGCCCGGTGGGGCCTCTGCACACCGTCCGTTGACCCTGTTGCCAGGACAAGGGGACTCAGGCGACCCGTGTGCTGCTTCCCTCACCCAGTGGACAGTGGGGGCCTGTGCAGCCCTGAAGTCATTTCTGAATAGGAAGGCAGGTACTTCGCCCGTGCACACTCCCGCACACTTTCCGGCCAGGGCCAGCTGGTCTCCCGAATCCCCTTTGAGTCGCCCTCCTTTTCCTGGGGGGAGAAACTGGCCATCCCCGTGCTCCGCTGCCCATCCGGCTGTCCACGTTGCCCACTTCTCTCTCTTTGGAGGGCCGGGCCAGGGCCAGGGTGCTGCCCCAGTAAGATGTAGGGCAGGGCTTCCGTTGTGCCCAGCACTTGAGATAAAAGGGGCCACCGTAGTCGCTCCTGTGTGGGAGGAAAACCCGGCTGCGTTTCTGCTTCCAGTGTGCGGCCTCTCCGTGGGGGTGCGGTCACCAGTTGACACTGCCTGACTGGGAGAGGCCTGGCGCCCTTGGCCCAGGGGTCTGTGCCCCGGGCCCCGCTCTGCGCCTCCTGCGTTCAAGAAAGAGTCTCTGAACCTTCCCTGGAAATAAACTTTCCGTTTCTTTTTTAAGAGAACTTACATCCTCCTTATGGCTTCTGTTTCCCAGTCAGCCATATTTAGTGAGCCTGTTACCTTGACTTTTTCTAATTTCTTAAATTGTATTCATGTTGGCTGGGTACGAAGAAGCCCATATGCCTTTCCATCCAGAAAAGGGAGTGTAGACACCCTGGTCGCCCACGTGCCGTTCGGGAAGAGGTGGCTTGTGTGCTCCTTGTTGTACTAGAACCTTCCTTTGGCCCTAGCGGTGTCTCACGAGGGAGCCAGGTCTTTCTCCGGGCCTGGTAGCTTTCAGGTGAGGGACGCTTGGATGCTCCGCTGACTCCCGCCCCGGTGCCCTTTCGGCAGAGAGGGATGACACGGTCTTCTCGTCTGCTTACATCTACACACGCGAGGGTGTGCTCGTGGTGACATCACCCCTTCCTGTGCCCGGCCGGCTGCGGGGGTCGGGGCGGCGCCTTCGGGCGCGTGTGGGGCCTCAGCGCGCCAGCGTGCAGGTGCCTATCCCGTAGCCTTAGCAGGGTCACTGGCCTGCGGCCATCTCACCGGCCCCTCCCCGCGCCTGGTCCTGTGCCGAGGGGGCAGAGGGATGCCGAGCATTCCCCAGGTCCCCGAGGCCCCCCCGGTGCGGGCCCACATTTAGGCGCCCGGTTCAGGGGCAGAGGCTGCTCGACCCTTGTCAGGTGAAAAGTTGGACCCGCGCATCCGCCACTGCAGCGTAGAGGAGCGATCGCAGGTATTTTGGGCAAACGGTAGGTGTGGGTGAGAGGAGCGCGCTTCTGTGACGAGACTAAGAACGGGCGGCCATAAACATGTCACCGAGAGGCTGGAGCCTCGCAGGGGCCTCAGGGAGGCCAGACGCCTCACGCGGGGCGCACCCCAGGCCTTCCCCAGGCTCTCAGTGTGCGGGTTGAAGTTTCCCCGGGGCCCTGGTGCCGGGGGACGGCATGACCCCCTGCTGGCCCCTCTGCTGTCCCCCACGAAGTCAAGGATGGTGGGCGAGCAGCAGCAGCCCCCCTCGTCCCTGTGGACCGCTGCGTTTAGCGACTCGGCCTCCCCAGAAGCTCTGTGGGACCCCGGCATTTGGGCCTTCCCTCGCAGGGTGCTCACTCTGCCTGGGGTGTTGGGGGCTGGGCCAGGCCCTTCCTGAGGGCAGGTACCCCGTGGCCTGCAGGTAGCGCTTTGGACCTTTTAGTGGCTTTAAAAAATCGTATGCTGCCGTTACCCTGCCTCTGTCTATAGTCAGCTGGCGGACTTGTGTGTTTTAGGGTGTCATGTACATGACCCCTGGAAAACAGGGTCGCAGACCCGCAGAGTGTGCCAGAGTGGCCCGCCGCTCCTGCCCTGGCCCCGGCTGCCGGCCGGGGTCGCGGAGGTCGGCGCAGTTGCCCCTCGCTGTGAGCCCCCGCCAGGCACCTGCCCCGGGGTGACGGGCTGCCCCTGCCCTGGCGCGGCTTCTCGGGCCTCCGTCAGCGCCACGGGCCTCTCAGCTGCTGCTGCTCACCTCTCGCTGCTGGCGTTGCTCCCCCATCTCGGGCAAGGTTAGGTGCCCACGCCTGCTCGTCCTGCCCTCTCGAGGCTGGCTCGTCCTGCCTCGGGACACGTGGGCTCCCCTTCTGGTCTCAGGGCGCGCTCGAAGTTGACTGACGAGCCTCTGCTGAGGCTGGGTTGGGGCCGGGCTCCTGCTCCGAGGGCTTGGGCTGCCCGCGCCAGGGCCTTTCTGTCGCGCGGTCTGAGTCTTCTCTGATCCTGGGCTGGGCGGCGCCATCTTACCTCAGGTGCAGCCGGCGTCCTGCCGAGCGCCTTTGGGGCGGCCCACCGGGGGCCTCGCCTGGCAGCGCTCTATGCCCGGCTCTCTCCCTCTGGCCAAGGAAGACCCCCAGCGCCCTGAGCTTGTGGACGCGGGTCTTTGGGCTCCCGGCGACAGAGCAGCGCCCGGGGTCTCTCGCCCTCGTCCTGTCCCCCAGTGTGGGTCCCTGGGGCCCGTTGCCCCGTGGCACCATAGATCTTTCCTTTCGGGGAGAAGGTAGCGTCCGAGTCCCATCTCTGAGCACGCCCAGTCTGCCCAGAGAGCCTGGGGGGAGTGCGGAGATCTGTGGGCTCAGGACCCCCCAGCCCCGGTTGCCTGCGCTCCCCAGGGTGTGTCTGTTACGTGTCTTCGGAATTGTAATTTTTTGGGGTTGTGATCTTAAGAAAGGCCCCTGTGGATTTGATCCTGGTGCCGCGAACCCCTGCAGGAGCGGGGCGGCCCAGCAGCATCCCTGGATTTCGTGTGTGCAGACGAGAGCGGAGGAGGCGCGCCGGTGGGGCGGAGGGGCGCGGCGGGC